AAATTGTCCAACCTAATCCTAACAAGACCTCTTGCTCTCTAGCTCCCTTGTTACCCCCTCCCATGCTCACCTCCAGGACCTCTCTAGAACCTCTCCCATCCTCTGGAACTCCCTGCTCTAGTATGTCCAGTTATTTCCTACCCTATACACATTTAGGCAATCCATGAAATCTCAGGGAAGCCTATCACACCTCCACCTACATACTGTACTTTGGTCACCTCCATCAGATTACCCCCAACAGCTATTACCATTTGTACTAAACTGTACTACGGCCCCTCCCTTTAGATTGTAAGCTCTATGAGTAGGGCCCTTCAAATTTATTCTGTATTTATATGTATCGTAATTGTACTCTCTCCCTTTCTATTGAAATGTACTGCACAAACCATTGATGCTATAAAAATCCTGTATAATAGTAATAATTACTAATAATAATGCAGGGAAAAAAGTGTCCTCATTAATATGATTTACCCTATTCATCTCCTCTAAGCAATAGGTTTTCAGCAGCATATGCTAGTCTTCAGCAGCGTATTTACCACAAGGCAATCAAGGTGTTTGGTCTAGGGTGGCAATTTTCAGGGGGGTGGCGCCACCTCCCAGAAGAAGGGACACAAATGGCAGGGATGGGGACCTGGTCAGCTCCACCATGAGATCCAAGGAGGCTGCACGCTTCTGGAAGGTGCAGGGATGGCCGGCTGCTTCTTTCATTCCAGAGGTTAAGGTTAGTGCATGAATCGGATGGTCTTGGCGGTGGGACATGTGTGTTGGTAGGTGGTGGCGGTGAGGGGATGGGAGGATTGCGGTGATGGGCTTTGGTTGCGGAGGGTTGTGGCTGGGGCGGCTGCTGGTGGGGTGGGGAGATTTTGATTGTAGTGTTGCCTAGGGCAGCACATGAACTAAATATACCACTGCTTGTCTTTCTTTCACTGACCTAATACTCCATTCAGCCAATGGGAGTAAAGGAACATCCAAAAATTATATAAAACATGTCCTCCTTATGCTGTGACAAAAGGATATACATACATATAACCACAAAATAAACCTGATGTTAATCATTTATTACTCAAATATACCGTATTTTTCGCTCCATAAGACGCACTTTTTTCCCCCCACCGCCGCCGTGCAGAATACCGGGCCGACCGCTCAGCTCTGCAGCGGGACCTTAAGGAGAGGACTGCTGACCTTTGGGGAGGTGGGGAGCGGGTACCTGAATTGGACAGGTACCCGCTCTTACTTCTTTGTTCTTTGATCTTACCTGTTCCTCTATCCAGCGGCGCGCTGTCTTCCAGGCTTCTGTAGTGTGGGCACTGGGCATGACAGCCGGGTGCCAAGTGCGCATGCGCAAGAAGCGGTGCTTTTTGTGAATGGTAAGGCGGTACCTGGGACACATGACCGATCCCAGAAGCCGCCGGACCAATCACAAAGCGCAAGTGCTTCTCGCTCATGCGCACTGGGCACCCGGCGGTCATGCCGAGCGCCATTACAGAAGCCGGGAAGACAGCGCGCGGCTGGATCGAGGAACAGGTAAGATGAAAGAACAACTCCACGGAAGTGGGAGCAAGTACCTGTCAAATTCAGGTACCCGCTCCCCACCTCCCCAAAGGTCAGCAGTCATCTGTGCTGTCCGCAGTCTCTGGTCATCCCTGTGCTGTCCGCAGTCTCTGGTCATCTCTGTGCTGTCCGCAGTCTCTGGTCATCTCTGTGCTGTCCGCAGTCTCTGGTCATCTCTGTGCTGTCCGCAGTCTCTGGTCATCCCTGTACTGTGTCTGCAGTCCATTAGTTCAGAATTTTTTTTTTTTTTATATTTTCGTGTTTTCTGCCTCTAAAACCTAGGTGCGTCTTATGGTCAGGTGCGTCTTATGGAGCGAAAAATATGGTATCTACAATATACCATGCAACAGCAGTAGTTCAGCCCCAAATGAACCATATAAATAAGAAAAGTATATAACAAACTTAGAACTAGTGCACAGCACAACCCCGATCCTCCTCTTCTGGGGTCTCCCACTGGCGCTCCTGGCTCCTCTTCCCTACCTAATGTCCACATAGCAAGCTGAATAAATAGAATGCGTTAATGTAAAAAAATCTTCTGCCTTTTTAATAAAATGTGTGTGTGTGTGTGTATATATATATATATATATATATATACATAGAGTGTATAACATTTAAAAAAAATAAAAAAGCAAGCCTTTTATAATCACTTTATTTCATACTATAGGATACAATATTTATATAACCCTATTTAATTGGCAAATAACCTGACTAACAAATTACACTGAAACTACATTCACTATGTATATTATTTATTTATTACAGGTACTTATATAGCGCCGTCAAGTTACACAGTGCTTTACATATATACATTGTACATTCACATTAGTCCCTAACCCTCAAGGGGCGTACAAGCTAAGGTATATAACAAATAACACCATATGCAACATAATATTCCAAATAATAAATAACATTAATATCATGATAGACTGTTGAAAAGAGTTATCCAAGATTCTGTTGATCATTTTCTGATTATTTGATTATTTAAATGTATCCACATGCAAAGTTTCACATAGCAAGTGGTTGATCAGACAATCGGTTGAAGTCTGACACTGTAACCATACCTCAGCAGTACAAAAGCAAATATAGTTTAAGCTAGCATGTGAAAGCATAGAATTTTGAAGAGACAGAAAGCTGTGTATGGAATATTCAAACAGAACCATTGCAAAATTTAGATCGTATAGTATGTATGCACACAGCCAAAGATATCAGGTGGTATAGTGTGTAATATCATATAGTGATAATATGCCCAAATGCTCAATTCCACCATTAGTCAATGAAATGGGATGTAAAGTAACGTCGCTGAAGTCATAGCTTACAGAGGCTAGGGAGTGGACTTCACATATGACAGTGCTGATTAGTTCAGCTCTGTCACATGTAGTGAGACACATGCTCCTGGATCCTGGTACTGAACTGAGCAGTAGAAAAGAGAAGGAAGATAGGTTTATGGGCAAAGCAGAGAGTTGTTTCAAAGGTATATTCATGTAGTAATAAAATCATGTAATAAAAAAAAACAACATAAGTATATGGTTATACTCTGGGCATGTTGGTGGATTTTCTCATTAACAGCAGTGCTGAACAAAGCATGTGTCAGTAATACAATACATTTTGGAGAGCCAAATTTGACAAAAATGCATTCATTTGCCAAGATATATTGCAGTGAAAGTATTTATATGTATATGACAAATTTGATTCCCCATAGAAGTGAATAGTTGGTGGGGTAATCCTTTATGTAAACTTTATGTTATCTAAAGCTACATCTGTTAAGGAGTGCTTGTTTGCCAGTATTCATGAACTCAGGACTTTGAACCTAATGAAAGCCTTAAAACAATTACACATAACATAAAATAAATAAAGCAAATTGAATGCAATTTTAGATTCTTATAAAATCAGACTCTCTCCTGTACTACCAGTATGAAATGAGTTCTCATCATGTAAACTAAGATTTTGCCAATTCGGCATGGAAGCAATAATAAAGGGATATTATTGAAGTAAATAAGCAGTGAATATTAATTCACGACCTTGCTTTTAACCTGACCTGTAATATTGACAGATTGGGGAAGCTGCAAAAGTTCACAACTGATCAAATCCACTTAAAGGTCACTGTAAATTTAAAGCAGTCACCACAGACCTCATCAAAATATTGCTGCTATTGTGTATAATCATTGTAAAATATGTCAAAAGAGTACTGTAGCCAAATTCATTATTTACCTGAACAGGATGTCCAACAAATCATCATTTTATAGTGTAGTAACACTGGGTACTTTAGCAACCATCAGATGACCTCTTAGTATTATCTGATAACATCCTTATTCTGATCCTCAGTCGTCAGCTTCCCATTCATGAATATGAACTCTTCATAAGATTGTATAGGAAGAGAAAAAGGGGGCCTACATAGTGAAATACCATTTATTTAAGTTAAAATGCTAAAATCGTATTCCACTCATATGTATTGACAGATTAAAAATCATACAAACGCCAGACCGGAAGTAGCACACCAGCATGTGTTCCACCAACCATATGTGACATCACTAACGGGTCCCACCCATGTCATTTCCTCCTCCTTATAGGGTGTACTGGGTGGAGTAGGAGGAGATCCTATATATATGAGCCATAGGTCACCACGGACTCTGAGAACACCCAGTGGGAGGGGCGAAACGCATCAGCATGGATGTCACATCCGGTCGGTGGAACGCACAGTGGTGCGTTATTTCTGGTCCAGCGTTTGTATGCTTTTTAATCTGTCAATACATGTGAGTATAAGGCAGCGGTTCTCAACCTGTGGGTCGCGACCCCTTTGGTGGTCGAACGACCATTTCACAGGGGTCGCCTAAGACCATCGGAAAACACATAATTCCGATGGTCTTAGGAACCGAGACACCGCTCCTCTATCCATCTCAGGCGATGTGTGGGCGGGATGACATGCTGCCCCTGTCACCTGGCCACACCTCCGGGATCACTCTACAGTTCCGCCTCCTCGCCGGTGATTGGCCATCGGAACTGTAGCTCAGGAGAGGCACACAGGCGGCCAATCACCGGCGAGGAGGTGGAGCTTGGAGAGGAGGAGCCGAGTGGCAGCGCGAGTAGATCAAAGAAGACTGAGTAAGGGAGCTGCTGGAGTGAGTGAAGAGGAGAGCAGCCAGAGAAGGAAGACAGCTGATCGGTAAGTGTCTGTACCGTGCAAATTTTGCTCCTGCAGCCAGGTATGCTGGCTGTAGATGGGAGAGAGGGAGAGAGCGAGCCCAGGCTGGAGCAGGTAAGTATCATTGGTGTCAGTGGGAGGAATAGTGCCCCATCATTGGTGTCACTAATACCAATGATGGGGCACTAGTTCTCCCACACATACACCAACGATGAGGCACTATTCCTCCCCACACTGACACCAACGATGGGGCACTATTCCTCCCCACACTGACACCAACTATGGGGCACTATTCCTCCCCCCACTGACACCAATGATGGGACACTATTCCTCCCCCACTGACACCAACGGTGGGGCACTATTCCTCCCCCCACTGACACCAACAATGGGGCACTATTCCTCCCCCCACTGACACCAAGGATGGGGCACTATTCCTCCCCCCCACCGACACCAACGATGGGACACTATTCCCCCCCCCCGCACTGACACCAATGATGGGGCACTATTCCCCCCTCCTGACCCCAATGTTGGGGCACTATTCCCCTCCCACCACACTGATATCAATGATGGGGCACTATTCCTCCCACACTGACACCAATGATGGGGCACTATTCCTCCAACTGATACCAATGAAGGGGCACTATTCCTCCCACTGACACCAATGATGTGGCATTATTCCTCCCACTGACACCAACGATGTGGCACTATTTCTCCCACTGATACCAAAGATGGGACACTATTCCTTCCACAGACACCAATGATGGGACACTATTCCTCCCACAGACACCAATGATGGGACACTATTCCTCCACAGACACCAATGATGGGGCACTATTGCTCCCACAGACATCAATGCTGGGACACTATTCCTCCCACTGACATCAGTGATGTGGCACTACTCCTCCCACTGACACCGATGATGGGGCACTATTCCCCCCCCCACACACACACACTGACATCAATGATGGAGCACTATTCCTCCCACACTGACACCAATGATGGGGCACTATTCCTCCCACTGACATCAGTGATGTGGCACTATTCCTCCCACTGACACCAACGATGTGGCACTATTCCTCCCACTGATACCAAAGATGGGACACTATTCCTCCCACAGACACCAATGATGGGGCACTATTCCTCCCACAGACACCAATGCTGGGACACTATTCCTCCCACTGATACCAATGATGGGGCACTATTCCTCCCACTGATACCAACGATGGGACACTATTCATCCCACTGACATCAGTGATGTGGCACTACTCCTTCCATTGGCGCCAATGATGGGGCACTAGTCCTCCCACTGCAAAATTACAGTTATGAAGTAGCAACGAAAATAATTTTATGGTTGGGGGTCACCACAACATGAGGAACTGTATTAAAGGGTCGCATTAGGAAGGTTGAGAACCACTGGTATAAGGACTGGACCTACAGGAGGACTAAAATTCCAGATGAGATCATTTAACACACAAGTGCGATAGACTCTTGTTCTTATAAGAATCCACGGAAGTTGGTGAGTAAGTGTGACCACCGGAGGGGAGCACCAAGGATTTGTTGCACTCTATGAAGAATATCTGCACGTTTGCACATTAAGAGACTATATTAATTTAAATCAATGAATTATTTGTTCACATAAATATGATGATGGTGTAATTTGTAGAATATTGTTAGAGAGAGCAGATTGCATGAACTTAATGACATACATATTTTGAGGTATTTGCATGTTTTATTGGGCAGCACTTTATTGCTATAACATTTAATCTAAAGGTCAGTACCTTTATAGAAGCAGCAGCTCAATGTTTAGCACATTTTTTGGTATTTATATAGTAGTATCCGAGCGCGGGTCACAAGTGATTCTAATCTGAAGTTAGAAGCTGATTGGCTACCATGTACAGCTGCACCAAATTTTGCACTTTTCAGTTTTTCTCATCCGACATCAGTGCCTAAACTCACAAATATGTTTCTGGAAGAATGGTCAAACATTCCCATAGACACACTTCTAAACCTTGTGGACAGTCTTCCCAGAGGAGTTGAAGCTGTTGTAGCTGTAAAGGGTGGGCCAACTCAATACTGAACCCTACGCACTAAGACTGGGATGCGATTAAAGTTCTAGTGCGTGTAAAAGGCAGACGTAGCAATACTTTTGGCAATATAGTGCATATTAGTTAAAGTTACAAATTCTTCCCACTTTTTTGGACCACTTTCCATTATCTGCAAAATGACATGAATGATGAAGTGACTGTGGCAAGTGGCCAAATGGATGAGTGGAGTGCTTTGCAAAAATGAATTTGCCTGTGTCAAAATGAGGCTCAAATTTCACAATGCAGACTACATAGGCAAAATTTTCTTTTTGAAAACAAATAACTGGGCTTTGTTTTTAATAAAGCAATGTGACCACTATGTTAAGGGTAACATGCAAATCAATGCCTATGTCAAAAAGTAACGTCATGTCACCAACATGGTTTCATTTATCAGCCTACCCACATGATCGCTGTCAGTGCTGACATAGTGATCTCATGGTTTTGTTCATTGAAAAATTAATTTTACTAAAAAAAGAGTGACATTTAGTCCTTCTAGTTCTGGAACTGTATACAATTTTGTTTCAGCACTATGGAGAGCTCTTGTGGGGCAATCCACCTGAAGGGTAACATTTGTCTGAGCCAAATGAATCCTTTTGTAAACTGTTTGTGAATGTGACAGTGGAATGGGGGTGGGAGGGTGACATTATTACGTTAATTTGGGTGAATAGCAGCAAAGGATTCACAGAGTGAATTAGTAAATCCATCATAAATGGATTGGCTTGATGGTTAAACTCCAGCGACCAATATTCTCCTGCCTGGTAGGAATACCCTTACTGGCCATTGAGAAATTCTCATTGGATATTGGAATGGTAGCTGTTTTGAAGGATATTATTTTAATAAAAATAATAAACATGGTATACTTCTTACCTGGTAAGTCCTGGTAAGAAAGTAAAATGAAATTAGACAAGAGTACCCAGCAGACATCTTAGGAGATCTACTGTTAGGCAAAATATTAAACTGGAGCACTGCTTCACTTCATACTTTATACTAGAAAAAATCAAGATCCAAGCCCAATGCCTACCTTCCCTGCACTCTCTTTCTACTTTGCTAATTTTCTGCTAAACAAGGGTACCATAGGGTGATAACAATGAGTTTCCAGATCACTATATTTGCTAAACATAAAAAGAATCATGCAAGCAGTGCAAAGTACTTTGGCACAAACCCTGACAAAATACCATATAGTCATTGAACAATATCATTTTCCAATCTTAGGAGAATGGTAAGTTTGATAACACAGTAAATACTACATTATGTGTTTGCTGGAAATGTTACGGTATGCAATTATTTCGGCATGCATTAGCATTGTTATGTGTCAGAGTGTTTGCCAATGAATTTGACTACTTGAGTCAAATATTAATTCTAAAGGGCATAATTAACCCCGGTGGCTTTAAAAAGACTTGGATGCTTTTCAGTGCTATGCTTCTTATTTCCCTATTGTTTTCATTGTTCTGGAATAGAGCCCACTGCTGTAATTGCAGAATTAATGAAGTATGTTTGCTATCTGACACCAAAAAATTATAAGAATACCACTACATGGAATTTTTTTGCTTAGGAGTATTCCAAGCTAAGTTTGTATGTAACAGATACAGAATGAATGTATGAAAATTTGTGTAAATTAGACAGTAATTCATTCTTTTCTTAAATACTGGCTCCTCAAGAAACATTATAACTTTTTTATGAGCCTTATTTCTGTCTGATTTATATCTGTGCAATAAGTAAAATGAACAGATGCCTGCTCTATGAACAAAGTGTGCATTCTGATACGTTATTTTTACTTTTTTTATGATGCTCCCCTAAATTATGGTCTGTCTGCATTGGTAATTTTGCAGAGAACAGATGGTGAAATCTTAGTTGCAAGGGATGCACCCATTAAAAGAGCTGAGCCTGCCAAGGCAAGATTCATTCTGACAGTGAAATTTATTCTTCCAATGGACTTCAAAGCAAAATATAGCCTAACGTTAAAGCAAATGTTTACTTCCATTTCAATATCATTTCCATATTTTTATACTTTGAAGGTAGATTTTATGGGTAAACACAATGAACGTGACTAAATATTTTTCAGACTAATGAGTAACAATGTGTGATTATATTACTTTGTAAATCAGCTTCATTGAAACAATTTCAGATTTGATTGTATTGCTTTGACCCATGAATATTTTAGTTGTTAAATTAAAATGTGTTTTTTATGTTTGCATAAGACAGTTATACATATATATTATAAATAAAGATTTTTTTTAAATTAAATAGATGTGAACTGCTAACGCTTACTGCTTGAACAACAACGGGAGCTTAAGGTGCAGCTCTGTTCTGGGCTATGAACCTTTGAACCTGATTGCTGCCCACTAACAGGGTAGTGTATATGAGTAACTACAGGGGAACAATATTCTCTTAGTACAATATGATATAATCTTTCAGACTGGCGCTACAGAACTAATGTAATGAACGCCTATAAAAACTATCATTTAGAAAATCCTCATATTATTTGTGAAAAAATGGTGGCATTATTACTACTTTGCACAGCCAAAGCAAATATGTGGGCTTGACCCAGAATGTCCTCACACTCCAGGACACCAACAGAAACCTGCAGGAGGCAGATGCAAGACCATTCGACCTGTACAAGACTGGTCTTTGCTACAGGAATCTGCTACACTGAACCAAAGAATATGAGTTGTTTAATGTTGGATTACTGCACAGATTTGAGAGAAATACCCAAAGGGTGCCATTAATTAACACATGGCCCTTGTATTTGGACAATATTTGCTTTATCCCAGATTTCAGCTTTAATTCAAAGTTGGCATCAGTTTCCTGTGACCCCTTATGCTGCTCGTTACCCCTCTGGGCAGCAACACAAAAGGGTTCATTCCACTACATCTACCAAATTTTGACAGTTTTGTAACTGTAAATGCTAAACTCATTCACAAATCTGCTAATGTGGCTTATACATTTGTATATAAAATAAAACTGTGATTGTTTTCTGACTGGGACACTTTACTCAACCGCATTTGAAAGATTCTCAAAAACATAAAAATTGCATAAATGAAGAACTGTTGACGGGGAAAATGCAACATGGCCAGAGTTGGCAGCCATTCATATTTTTATAGACAGTTTGTAAAAAATAACTTGTACTCTCCCATGTGTTAAAGCCCATGGACAGGAGAAATGGTCCATAAAATGTTTTCAATTTTCAGTGTATGTGTCAATCTCTGCCTGAGTATATCTCCCAGTCCTTAGGCACCTCTAACTCCTGCATGCAGAGGTCACAGACTGTATCTGCTCTGCTTCTCATCCCATCCCCTGGTCCGTCCACACTCCAGGCCCTGGCGTGCAATGAAATAATCTACTGCCAGCTCATGCTGTGTCAGGAGGGGATTGTGGGGGCATGTGGATGGCAGATTTAAAACTTAGTATGCCCACATGACATGACATGAGTTGGATGCTGACAGTGTGTTTCCCATGCACTCCTGAACCGGGAAGGCAAAGTCTGGCAACTTGGCCCAGGCCCTGAGGAAGTCTACAATTTATGGGTGAACTATTAATAATGTGAATACTGTATCTGAAATAATGCATTCT